GAAAGCATTATGAATGCTTTCCTATGTGACCGGCTGAATGCGCGCGCAGCTCTTGCCGCATGTGTGCATTCAGCCGACGGGGAGGAGAGAAGGAGGATCGGAGGAGGAGAGCTCTCTGCCCAGTGCTGGAAAAGGGTAAGTTTTTACCCCTTTCCCCCTTCCAGAACCGGGCGGGAGGGGGACCCTGAGGGTGGGGGCACCCTCATGGCACTATAGTGCCAGGAAAACGAGTATGTTTTCCTGGCACTATAGTGGTTCTTTAATACCTATCTTAAGAACGGTACCCACTGACACCCAAACATGATAATGGAAATAATATATAAGTAATACTATTTTATATGTTATCCATTGCAATAACCTTAGGCAGCATTTATTCAAAGATGTACTTATAATAACCAGCCTGTTGTGTTTTTATTTTATTTTACTGTAATATCTCCATTGTTTTTTATTGTCTCTTTCTGTTCCCTAGTCTTCATTGGATTTTTTTTTGTGTGGTTTGTTTGGACCCTAAAAACTTGGCATGCCATTTTATGCTGGTATGTGCTGTAAACAGTGTATATCTAGTTCCTGTTTATCCTGATGTTTTTGTTCTGGTTGTCCACATGGTGCTGTGTCTGTTATAGTGATACCTTCTGTTCTCCATCTTTATGACATCTAAATTAAGTTGTCATAAAAGCCTAGAGAATCCTGTCCCTATTCTAGCTTGTAGTCTTCTTAACCATTGAGTGTCTTAAATTTATGTCAAGCCGCCAACTTTAATTGCACATTCAAAATTTCATTTTCCTTCAGATTTCCTACTAATTTTTCCTTTTGCAATTTCAATGGGGTTATCCAATGCACTTTTGCACTTTTGGTATCAGGTGGTTGCCCTAGAGCTGAGGCCTGTTAAACTTTCACTGTATTTTGGGCTCTTAAACTCTCTCTTTTCCTTCTTGGTCCTGGTTACCAGCGCCTTCTCCAATCAAAAGATTTGTTCAGTTCATTTACACATGAATAAAAACAAGAATTAATAAAAAAAATAATGATTTTTAAAAAAAATTGTTTCATACACAATAAGAATTAGGGTTTGATTTCTTCTTATTGAGAAGTAATGTTGAGTCTAAGAAAATTCGTTAATTGTATTAACACATAATTAATAACCTTCTTTAATGTATCCTACATTCCATGCATAGCTACATTGAAGAGCTGCAATTATACCTTTCAGTCACAACACAAAGCAAATTAATATGTTCTAATTGCTTGATGAGGTTTACATGCTGAAAATTAAGAGACTGATTCAAGCAGGAAAAGGCGCTTGCTGGCATTGATATGATTGTGACAGTGGAAATGACAGTGTGTTTTGTTGCTGTACTAGTTAGACTGTAATTTGGATTGGTTAGGAAGTAACCTTTTGAATGCCAAAGAAACTATCACAGTAATCTCTCCAAGGAGCACATTATACAGATAACTGTAGTGACATTTAGTTATTTTAAGTAAGAAATGAAAAAAAAATAAAAAATTCAAGCTGCATCTTGACACATTGGGGAAATGCATAAAATACTCACTACAATTATTTTGTTGTGACAATATTTACATCAATGCATTTGTCTAAAAAGAGAAGCACAAAAAATGCCTGCCAGCTGCAACAATTAAAAAGTAATTTAAAAGATAGGTGCTGCCTTTACTTTCCACAAAAATAAACAAACAAAAACAGGATTTGGTGTCATAGAAAGTAACACAAAATCTTTTTACAGTAAGGGACGGATTTTCCATTAGGTAGAGTAGGCACCTGTCCTCTAGGGGGTGCCAGTTTACAGCCCTTATAATGCACCTTTCCACTTCACACTTTTCTTAAGTGAGCTGGTGGGGAGATAAGTCCTCTGTAGCCTCCAATGCTATGCTTTATAGCAGAAGCTGCAGAAATGGGTTTAGGGGGAGATCTGTAAATCTAGCCCTGTGTGCAATTCCTTTTAAAAATGGGATAAACATTAAGGGGATAGTTTCGGCACCAAAATAACATCATTTAAATTAAGTTGTTATGGTGCCAGGAGGCATGCCAGTGCGCTCTTACCTCAAAAAGTTAAACCTCTCTCTTAAGGTTTAACCCTAAATTTGCCTCCAGCGCCGGCTTTAGAATCCCAGTTTCAGGAAACGCAGATTGCCACCGGGCAAGTGTGCCACTGATTGGCTGAAAGCGGTCAGCTGACGAATCTCAGCCAATTAGTGACTCCCCATTCACAAAACTGGCTTGAAAAGAAACGTACCTTTTCCAAGACAGTTTTGTGAATCACTGATGCTCTCAGTCAATCAGCCACGCCTCGTGCCTGACGGCCCTCAGCACTTCCTGAAACTGAAATATAAGAAGTCGGATACTGCCTGGGGAAAGCTGAGATTGTTTCTGGAGGCAACTTTGGGGATAAACCGTTCAAGAACAGTTTAACCCCTCAAGGTAAGAGTGCGCCCAGGGGCCTCCTGGCACCATTACAACTTAATTTAGATGATATTGTTATGATGCCTGGAGTGTTCCTTTAAGTACATAAAATATAAAATGGAGTTGGGATGTGTATGTGGCTGTTTAGGATCAACATAAAAATTAGAATCAGGCACACATACAAAAATGTTTTCCATTTAATGGTAAAGTGTTGGAAGGATTGGCAGATATAGAGATTTATACTTCTCTTTTCTTCCCAAGAAAGTATTTACACACAAATAATAATGTGATTGTTACAAATGGAATATGGGGTATTTATGACCATGACAATTCTGAGCTTAGGTACTCTGGGTATTAATATGTCAAAAAGTAAAATTTATCTCAAGACGCAGTGAGTATTGTGCATATCTCTTCCTTTACTTAAATACAGCAGCAAACAAAAAAGCAAGAAAAAAGGATTCTTAACATGTGACCTCCCAAACTCCACCCCTCATGAATAGCCACCTCTATGTAATCCAGGATCACACCCTCAACTTCTTCTTTCTTTGCTGCTCCCTTCGATGCAAGTTAAAGCGGCACTGTTATGCCGAACTTACCTTTTTTAATCAATTCCTCTTTCAGGATCTGTTCTTAATTTTTTCCTGTCTGCTCTAGTTTTCTTTAAATCACAAGACAAAGTAGGGACTATTTGTCTTATGGAGGTTTCCTACGCATGACCATCACTGACCAGCGGAGGAGCAAAGTGTGCTTCATTTCCCATGGTCAGAGCAATTTTCCCATAATTCTTACCTTTCCTCCGTGTTCCCGCGATGCTTCCTTTCACTTTTCCCGAACGTCCTGTCATTTAGACAGAACTCCGGCAAAGCTACCGAATTGCGTCCTGACAGAAGGAGAACAGTTTTTCGATTTGTGTTAGAACGCAATTCAGCACTTTGTTCGGATCGGAATTTAATTCGAATGAATGAAACTCTGATCTGATTTGTGCCGCGGCTGCATCTTGCAGCCGATTAGTAGATAACTCCCTAATTCCCACGGTCTTTCAGACAAATTTACTAATATTAAGTAAAGACTACTTAGTATTAGTAAATTCTACCCCTACTCGCTATGTGGCTGCTCATGAGCCCCTCCGGCCTCTACCCCTGAGTGGCGAAAGGGAGCCATAAATGAAAATGTGGGGGGCTATTGTCCTCCCCTCCGGCCCCCACCCCTGAGCAATGGGTCGGGGCCCTAAATAGCAATGAGGGGGGACCTATATAACAAGTGGCGAGTGGGGGCCCTATATAACAATGGGGGGGACCTATTGTTCTTCCCCCGGTCCCCACCTCTGAGCGGCGGGTGGGGGCACTAAATAGCAATGAGGGGACCTATTGTCCTCCACCCCGGCCCCCACCCCTGAGCGGCGGGTGGGAGCCCTAAATCGCAATAAAGGGGGGGGACCTATTGTCCTCCTACCGCCCCCCACCTCTGAGCGAAGGGTGGGGGCCCTAAATAACAATGGGGGGACCTATTGTCCTCCCCCCGGCCCCCACCACTGAACGGCGGGTGGGGGCCCTAAATAACAATATAGTAGGGGACCTATTGTCCTCCCCCCGGCCTCCACCACTGACCGGTGGGTGGGGGCCATAAATTAAAGTGTGCCCCCCCCAAGGTGATTAGGGGTCCTCAAGCCCCTAGTCACACCCCCCCCACCTAAAAATGGTGAGGGGGGAATAAAACAACTAAGTGCCTGTAAAAAAAAAAAAAAATTAAACTTACTGTGGCGAAACCGACCTCGCCACTGGCCATTGGAGAAGACTGATTGCCAGCCTCCTGCCATGTGACTATGGCTCCTGGGATGTATTGCCCTTTAAAGACATGATTTGGGCATAATGGATTTGTGTTGTGCTGCTGCTAGCCCTTTTAAGAACCATCTGGGGACATACTGTGGAGTTACTGGGTGGCCACCATTTCCTGTATCAGAAGCACATGGTGAGAACAATGGATGGCGGCCATTTTAACTCACAGACACTGTGTGGACTTTTCAACACGGTGCCATCTCGCCAGTATTTGTTGCACAGAGACATCGTGCGGTGGTTTTGGACTATACAGCAGGGGACACATTATACAGTGATTGTTTTTATTTAGCCTGTATATGTTCTGCAGAATCTGCATTAAACTGTATTTTCCAAAGTACTGAACGGATCTGGGTGAATTTTGGATATGTGGTTCACCCAGATCCCCCAGTTCCAAGGATATACTTTTTATGGGGTTATTGCATGTTTTGGGGTCCCTGTGATGTGTTTTATGAAACTGCATTTCTCTGGCTGTGATAATTAGATTACCCATTGTGTTCAGTAATCATATCACAGCCAGAGGGGAGGATTTTGTGTGGGAGTGTCTGGGTGTAGTGTATGGATTGATTGGCTGTTTTGTAACGCCCTGTGGGCTGTACTATGTTTGTGGATTGGGAATAAAAGAGACTGTATGTGACAGTACAGGGAGTTCCTGTTTTAACCCTCAAAGTGAAGTGTCGTCTCATTATTGGGGAAGGATTCATTGTATGCTGTTCCAGTTTGACTGCTAGGAGAGTAAACCTATTCGTATGGTTCCTATTCAACTGTCTACAGCATTCATATGCTTGAGAGAAGGTATACGCTTCTCTGGTTCGGTGATTGTGGTGTCTGCTGCAGTGCTTGGAGTCCTCAGGAAGCGCTAGGAGCATCTTTCAACGGAGGTACCCAGTCGGGGTGCCAGGCGATCCGTTACATTGGTGGCAAGCGGTGGGATGGCGTCCTAGTGCAAGGTAAAGCAGCTCAGAGACACTGTTTGTGGAGTCACAAATTGAGGGCAACGCTAGCACACGTGCAGCGCCCCGGGAGCAGAGGTACCCAGCGACTTGGAGCAGACAAGTATGGAAGGCTCTGGTGATGATTGGCTGGCCAAGGTGAGGCAGCGAGTGGCCCAGTATGGTGATAATGTGCCCATGGATATATTCCAGGCGATCTGGAACCAGGTCACAGCCGAGCGAAACACAAGGATGGACCGAGAATTCCGGCTGGCGAAAGAGAGAGAATATGCTCAGCGGAAGGAGTGTTACAGCAGCCAAAGAGAGGCTGCATTCGAGGAGGTTAACCGTTTCCCCCTGAGGCGGCCAGAGGAACCCGAAGTAGGGGTCCTCATAGACTGGTCCTGTGAGGAACCACAACAGGCAGGTGGAGATGGGACCGAGGTCTCTCCACCGGGCCCAACGGGGTGCTGGGCAGCCGGCCCAGATCCCCAGCAGCAGCCGGAGTTAGCGGGTGCGGAAGCCAGTGGTCCTTACTCGCAAATGTTGAGGGACCTCACAGACTGGTCCTGGGAAGACCCACAGATGGCAGGTGGAGATGGGACTGCAGTCTCTCTACCGGCCCTACAAGGATGCTGGGCGGTCGGCCCAGATCCCCAGCGGCAGTGTGTGTTACAGGGAGCTGAAGGTGCCGTCCTTCCTCCCCAGCGGCAGTGCGAGTTACAGGGAGCCAAAGGTGTCGTCCTTCCTCCCCAGTGGCAGAGTGAGTTACAGGGAGACAAAGGTGCCATCCTTCCTCCCCAGGGGCAGTGCGAGTTACAGGGAGACAAAGGTGACGTCCGTCCTCCCCAGCGGCAGTGTGAGTTACAGGGAGCCAAAGGTGCCGTCCTTCCTCCCCAGCGGCAGAGTGTCCTGCAGGGAGCAGAGATAGTCGGTCTCGCCTCCAAGCAGCAGGACAATATATTGAAAGGGGAGACAGTCGGTCCCCCTCTCCACCAGCAAAAGAGAGTGTCAGGCAGAGGAGCCTGTTACCCCCTCTCCCCAGCGGCTGAAAGTGTGTAAGGGAGAGGAGCTTGTTACCCCCTCTCCCCAGCGGCAGCGTAGCCCACCAAGGGGAGATGATAAGCCCCACACCGGTGCAGAAGGGACCGTGGTCTCTGTGCCCCAACCACAGGGGGTATGGGCGGTCGGTCCTGTCCCCCAGCAGCCTGTCTGCCCCTCCAGCCGCAACACCAGGTCCAGCAGGAGGAGCATACTAACCCTTCTCCTCAGCTGGGCTCCAACCAGGCTGCTCCCTTGGTAGCGCTGGCACCAGGGCAGAGTACCGCTGGTCTCTGCCCACTCAGCAACCCACAGATCCAGAAGGCTAGTGGTGGAGCCCCTGGACATGGACAAGCTACCCACTACCCCAGGTGCAGTAACCAATTCTTGTGGGTGGGCTGCACTACTGACTATGTTTTGTGGGTGGGTTGCTGGACTAACCAAGGCACTGACCGACAGGAGGTCAGATACCTTGTTAGTCTTTTTGGGAAATGGGAGAAATGTGGCGAAACCGACCTCGCCACTGGCCATTGGAGAAGACTGATTGCCAGCCTCCTGCCATGTGACTATGGCCCCTGGGATGTATTGCCCTTTAAAGACATGATTTGGGCATAATGGATTTGTGTTGTGCTGCTGCTAGCCCTTTTAAGAACCATCTGGGGACATACTGTGGAGTTACTGGGTGGCCACCATTTCCTGTATCATAAGCACATGGTGAGAACAATGGATGGTGGCCATTTTAACTCACAGACACTGTGTGGACTTTTCAACACAGTGCCATCTCGCCAGTATTTGTTGCACAGAGACATCGTGCGGTGGTTTTGGACTATACAGCAGGGGACACATTATACAGTGATTGTTTTTTATTTAGCCTGTATATGTTCTGCAGAATCTGCATTAAACTGTATTTTCCAGTAGTAAACCTATTCGTATGGTTCCTATTCAACTGTCTACAGCATTCATATGCTTGAGAGAAGGTATACGCTTCTCTGGTTCGGTGATTGTGGTGTCTGCTACAGTGCTTGGAGTCCTCAGGAAGCGCTAGGAGCATCTTTCAAAGGAGGTACCCAGTCGGGGTGCCAGGCGATCCGTTACACTTACCATATGATGTCTTCTTTTTTCTAAAATCTTTATTTTTCAGCCCCAAAAAAGGCCAAATAAAAACTATAATACCTGTCGAACTTGTTAAGAATAAAATAAAAAACCCGAGCACAAAAAAAATCTGACGAAAAAGAAAAAAACAGACGCTTAAAAATAAATCTATCTTCACCCGGTGAGGGCACAGTGCAGACTGAGCTCCGCAGGGTGGGGAAAGGCTTATAAAGCCTTCCCATGCCTGGCAATTTGACTCAGAGCACTCTGATATGTTGACTTGGATTTAAACCAATCAGAGTGCTAGTCATTTTACACAGCGTTGGAAGGTTCTTTGGAATTTTCCCATGCTGTGTAAAATGACACAGAGCACTCTGACTGGTTGGATTTCAAGCCATCTAAACACGCTGTGTAAAATGACTAGCAATCTGATTGGTTGAATTCCAAGTCAACCAATCAGAGTGTTCTGAGTCAAATTGCAGAGCGTGGGAAGGCTTTATAAGCCTTTCCCTGCCCTGCGGAACTCAGTCTGGGCCGTGCCCTCTCCAGGTAAAGATGGATAAATTTTTTTAGTGTCGGGTTTTTTCTTTTTTGTCTGTTTTTTTTTTGTGCTCCAAGTTTTTGTTTTTATGGCCCCCACCCGGCGCTCAGGGTGGTCAGAGGCAGAGAAACAGTTTAGGAAAGGACGCATACTATGGCAAGAAAGGACACCTAAGAAATGCTTGTCCCATACGTCCGGATAACTTACGCTCCTAAGACCCATTAGGGTGTATATGTCCCCTGGTACTACCCAAACTAGATTTCTTCTTAGTGTTGCTGCTCAATGTGATAAGATAAGTGTTAAGTGTAACGCCCTGATTGACTAAGGCGCTCCAAAAATCTTTATCGATATGCAATTTGCCAGTAAACACTTCCTACGCATTAAGAAGAGATCATCGCCCCTGGCCGTTGAGGCCATTGATGGGAGACCACTCTCTCAGCCTTTAATTACCCATGAAACACTACCTATCACTACCACGATAGGAGTGTTACACAAAGAACTCATCACGTTTCAGATAATTGCTTCCCCTTCTTGTCCCATTATATTTGGATTCCCATGGCTTGTTAAGCATAACCCCCATGTTAGCCCCAGTTGAAGGCGCAATTTTGTGGCAACGAAACGCGCATCGGGCGTTTTTTTTATGCTTTATCCTCACTTTGATTTGGTGTTTCTATTTGGGTGTAATTCATGGAGCACTTAGGTTATTAGATTTTAGTATTAGATTTTAGTGTGGGATGTTCAGGTAGCGGTTACCGGTTAAGTGGCTGTTAGCTTTCCAGTAGTCTTAATTCTCGAGACAGACTTTATTGGCCAGCAGAGGTAATATTCAAATAGGGATTCTAGCAATCTTTTTTTTATTGCAGGAAGTACATATAACTTACTTTTAGCTCCTTATCAGGAAGGACGTTTATTAAGTACGGTATCAGAACCCAGAGCTTATTTGTTATAGACACTCATTTTGGGTCTAGATACAGTTTATTGTGTGATACTTGCTGTGTGCAGGGCCGGTGCTAGGATTTCTGACTACACAGGCGAAGATGCATTTTGACGCCAAAAAATAAATAAACAATGCATCTTCACCTCTGTGTCTCATAGCCCCCTTTTGAATTTCTTACCCCCATTAGTGTTGCATATCCACTCTCTTGAATGTCTTATCCCTTTGGCCCCTTTGTGCCTTACACCCCCCTTTAGTGTGTTTCCTACAACACCTCTTATGTATTTCTTACTTCCCCGCCAGCTCCTATCTATCTCTCTTTTTCTCCCACATAGACATAGATACAGGCAAAAATACATACATGCACAAATACACAAACATACAGACACACAACCATACAAGCACACAGACATAATTTTTCAGGCACACAGTCACAAAGATATACAGACACACAGTCATAAAAAGCACACAAACAAACACAGTCATACAATCTACACATACAGGTACATTGTCATACAAACACAGACATACATTCATACAGACACAGGCACTCACAGAAATACAGACACAGGCACTCACAGAAATACAGACACAGACATAAAGAAACATAGAGATAGGCATACAGAGACATACATACACAGACAAACAAAGAACCCTGCTCACTGATACCGTGTAAATGCTCCGGCCATCAACAGTGGTGGATGCTCCGTGTCAGGCAGACATCGCTGGATCCACCAGTAAAGTCTTCAAAAGGAATAAACGCAGGCAACACTCCAATAGTAAGGATGGTATATTTATTGGTAGGTGAACCACCCCATAGAAAGTGTGATGTTTCAGCTCATGCAATAAGGCTCTGATGAGCCGAAACGACGCACTTTCTTTGGGGTGGTTCACCTATCAATAAATATACCAGCCGTACTATTGGAGTGTTGCCTGCGTTTATTCCTTTTGAATACATACACACAGTCATACAGAGACATACATACTGTATGTCTCTGTATGTCTCTGTATGACGGTCTGTGTATGTACACAGGATGGCTAAAAGTTAGATCCCCGTCTGTCGTGCAACTTCAACAATGCTTTGAAAGCTGGGGCTCTACCGATTCCCCATGCTTGCAGGATTGTATTTAGCATGGAGCAGTATTTGTGTGTTTGACTGTAAGCATGTGTTTGTATGGAGTATATTTGTAGGATTGTAGCGGTGTGTTTGTATGTAGTGTTTGCATTTGAATGCAAGCATGCATTTATGTGTAGTATTGGTTTTTGAACGTAGGTGTGTGTTTATATATAATTTTGGTGTCTGATACAGAGGTGTGTTTGTATGTAGTGTTGACATTTGAATGCAGGGGTGTGTTTGTATGTAGTGTTGACGTTTGCATGCAGGTGTTTATTTGTGTGTAGTGTTGATGTTTGAATGTTGAGATATATGCACATATACACATACACTGCCACACACGCACACACTGTGATACACATACACAAAGATACACACACTGACACACATGCAGATATACATATACACA